GTGTGGCTGAGTAGCCAGTAGTTATGCATGTATTTGGATTTTACTATATATATTGAGGAAAATCTATACATTTAGAGTTATGCGGTTTTGCCGCAGATAAAAATAAAAAAATCAGATCAAGATTTCAAACGGAAGAGTGAATTAGCCCTGGGTTTAGGCAATAATTACTCTTGGAGTAAGCGGATTCTGATCTGCTAAACTTGTACTTGTTCTAAGTATAGAACGAAAGGTTTGTGACCTAAGTTACGCTTCCTCAAAGCACAAAGTTAAGGCAGTCCCGCTGCAAAGCGAGTATAAGTAGCAGTTTGGCCTTGGGATACTTTTTAGAATAACAGGTTTCTGAATTTAGGGAATCAATTTGAACACTATCTACATTTTTATGAACATGATATCGGAAGTAGTGAAGCAGTGTGAGCTGGGTCCGGTTATTCAACATATCGTGCCAGGACTCAAGGAAAAACGGTCATTCGTCATTTCATTATGCGTTGCTTAATTTCTATCTGGCAGTAATACATGCTCGCTTCAGATCATACGTCCTACTTAACCTATGTAGTGATTACATGGCGTCCCATGTGAGGACCCACCGAAGGTACGTTCATATCAAATATGTTTTGATGAAGCTTTCATGAATAGCTTAGACCAGAGTGTCGTCTCGGCAGCACACATCTCCACCAATTATATCTGTCAAAGCTTGAGACAGCGCTTACCAAAGCATTGTCACTTTGAGAATATATTTGAACTATTTGATCGACGGTTATTTAGCTCTTGCTTTGAAAGCGGCATCGAAGATCCCAAAATTCTGCTTCCAAAAGATTTCGGTAACGCTGCAATGTGTCATCGTACCCGTATGCTGTACGTTTCGCCTCATCAATTGGCGACGTTATCATCATGAAACACGACAACTTTTCTTCGGAGCAGCACGAGAGAACAATAATCGCATCTTCAACCCGTCCCGACTTGAAGCGTACCTCGAAGGTACTCTTGGTGAGGATAGCTACCGCTTTGTGATTTTACGTGAGAGATGTGGCAGTAACGACGATTCGCGCAACGCAGTATGATCAGTACTGGCTAAGAAGACTATCATTTCACGATAAACATCTACTAGTGTAATTAATCAAAATAGATATTTATCGTGAAAGGGTTGGCTTCTCAGCCAGTTTCTGCTAGCGAGAATCAACCGCGATCACGCCTTCTAGATCATCCGTATCTTTTTGATGTATATCGCAGCAGCATGTGGCGAAGACTGAGGTATCACAGACGGCATAGAATCGCTGGCCGGACTCTAAGAATCTATGTTGGGCCAGATAATTCTGCCCCACGCCTTTTCCGCCAGACCCCGTTACTAATTGGCATTGTTTTCAAGATGATTGGTAGTGGGCCGTGCCGTGAATCCATAAATTGCGCTATACTTGCGCAAGCTGTTGGGCAAGCCACTTCCTTAAATCCGTCCGGAACGGAGATATCGGTCAACGTTATTCGCCGCCATCTTTGTAGAATTTCCCTCAAGCTATGGTTCAGAAATAGCAACTCAGTAAGATAATCTGGTTGGCGCCAACGAACGAATTGTCTATATAGGCAAATAGCATATTTAAGTGTATACAGTCGAGCACTCAGAAGCGCTCAATGTGGTTCATCACATTATACTATCTGTGCTCTGTATGACTAAAGACGGATTTATAGTCAAAGTAGGGTTGCGCATAGACTAGATGTGGCTGTGATAGCTATTTAAACAGAGAAATGAACATAACTGGTGCGTGATACGCACTTTGGGGATAAATAGGCCTCCTTCCATTTTATCTTGCCCGGTTAATTCATTCCATTCAGAGAAATGTTGCTGCCTTGAATAAGCGGTTCGATAAAACATCAAAGATTTGATTCTGCGCAAGATGCAACCGAGCATGCTGTTTTTGAAACACACTTTTTCTACACAATCGTTTTGTGGACACTTGACACCAGTTCGTGAGATTTGTTCAGCTACAAAACGAAACGAATTCGTATCATCATTGATAATATCTAATCTGCGCATTTCATACTTTACGGGTATTCTCAATGAAGGGCTCGTACATTGTGCGCCAGCGTCATGAGCCAGCCTTTTCATTTTAGCTGAACGTTTGTAATTTATAAGTATGGCGATAATTTTTGTTGTCCGAAAGACGTATTCAGCCGGATTGTGATTTTGTCCCTGATACGTTTTGCTACCGAAATGTACCGGCCGCGTTTTTGTTGAATTAAGAACCGCACTTTGCAGCGGAGCTCAGCGGACTTAAATTAAGGAGCTAGGCACGACTATTGACAGAAAAATGCTGAATATATGTTCAGCCAAACGCGTTCGTTATGCCGTGAAGGTGATCATTTGAAGCATTCGCGTGGTGGTACCATGGATCTCGAGCGAGGATCTTCTACTCATTGCGTGTTTAATGAATGAAGCAGTTCATCCCTTTACCGGCTATACCCCGCTGGCACTACTCGATAGTCACGAGCTGCTGGCTTTTTCGCAACGGACTGGCAAGAAAGCCAGGGATGATAACCAGTATCTGCAAAGCGTAAGGAATGCTCTCGATTGAAAATCTTACAGGATATTCAGACCCCACTTCGGCGAAATTGCCCTGGCGCGGTTACCATTTCTTCTTTAACCTTGAACACCCTCGGCCATTTGCTCTACTAATGAGGAGATAAACGCTTTGTCAGAACAGCTATCTCATAGAAACGACCAGGACCATACACTACTGGGGATTAAAGTACGGGAGTCTTTCCCGCGACCTCTGCATCGTGTACTTCGCAAATGAATTTATTAGAAAGCATCCGCTACGCTGAAGTTTACTTGCTTGCAAGCAAGCTTGCATAGCCTTAAGACAGATAAGACAGCGCATTCTCGCCACCAAGTTGCAATGCAATTCACATCGACAGTTTTACCAGCATGCAATTCTCAAGGAATATCCCAGATGAAGAGTACGGAGTTTCTCAAACGCTGCTCCTTTAAGAGCAAGCGCGATCCTTGATTATTGAATATCTGCCGGGTTACATAGCACGCGTGTTTCTGTTGGTTCAGCAAACTATCTACATGATTTGATGTGATGGCCCTCTACCTGTAGTGATTGAAGCCATGACGAGAAAATTGGCATGATTCGACGAGCAAACTGGGTATCGTTGTGAATTACTTGGCGCGATATCGCAGCACTATCTGCTGTTGGAAAAAGGCACGATCTCTGTGACTTCATAAAAGAGTCGGCAAGTTGAATTGTGCACCTCGTCAATGGTAAAAAGAAATTACCCTATGTCTTCAGGTATGGGCGGTGAGGTTCGGTTAGTACTTAGCGAATCGCTTCGATCGCTTTTTTGTCGTAGAACATATACTGGTCATTGCTCTTAGAGTATCTCTCGTGAGAACCACGCTGCTTCTGAAGGCACACTGAACCATCTGATCAAATACGCGGGTGGAGACTCCCAATGCGAGTATACTTTTGAGGAGCAGACACGCAAGTGTGTGACGTTCGGTGTGAGACTCCACGAGCAGTGCTTGCTCGCTAGCGCTTACTTTTGTCCAGCGTCTTAAAGTGACCACAAATTTGTGAGGTCCAGTATGCTTTGCATCTAATTGAAAGAGGATGCAACGGTGTGAGCGCTGTTTTATCTACTCACACTTGCTTGGGATGTCCATGATTTTACACCATAAAATGTGGATTCTTTTCGAGCATGCCAATTTATGGTCCCAGTATTGTCGGTTGAATACTTGGCAAAGATCACGCTATGTAGTAGCTAATGTGTGCGAGTCGCCGCATACTTAGATGTTATCGAGCAAGGGCTTTCCCAATAGTTGGGACATTAAGTGGTTTATTGATCAAAAGATGCTAAGCTATACATGCGTAACATGCCTGTTAATTGCGAATTTTTATCTGATGAAGCTCAAATTCAAAACGCGCACTCGAATAATAGATAATTGATCAGTAAGAAGCAAACTTTGGCAATTGCAAAAAACACCCTTAGAATTCCAGCTCAGCGGCTGACATCCCTAACGGATGTTCTTTTGAATCAGCAGAAATAGGAAGGTACCTGCATCTTCAGGAACCTATCCACGGATCATCTAAGGACCTTGTCACGATCGCTTGAGTTTAATGCGTCAACAGCGTTAAGTTTGCCATCCCATACTTTGACACGGTCAAGAATATCAACAAACCAGCCAGAAAGTAGTTTCAAGGTTCCTTTCTCACCGTTCCCGACGTTTAACGTACGAATTTTTCAAGAGAACAGTCAAAGATTGTGCGCTTCCACATATCGACAAGCACATGCGCGTCGTTCAAGGCTTAGGAAACATTTCTGGTACAAGGTTTGATCACAGCTATTACCGAAGAAAAAGGACTATAAGATGCTAGCATAAAATCGCTAAATGAAACACCTTTTCCTGCACTTTGTGTAATTTGGAGCCAAATAAGATTTATCTCATTGCAAACGGATGTTCAATTGTGTTCTAGCATGTGCAAATTTCGAGGTTGGGTAGGAGCAAAGACGGAATGATCCTTCAATGTTACAAGCATTGAAATTTTAAGGTTAGTCAGTGCGACTATCCCTGTTGCTCTCAACCGCAGATTTCATGCTGAAGATGTCTCACATTTTGTTCCAGTAGATTCATTCGATCTGAAAGCGTTTTTGCCCAAATTTGCATGCATTTATTGCAACAACAGCCTTCAGGGTTTGTTAAATCGCCATCGTGCTCATCAAGCTGTTCGACCATATTCGACTTCGCACCTGTCCGCTTGAAACTCGCTGACGATGCGACAACTGCAGTATCATCAATTGCAGCTTTAGTAAAGTCATTTTCTATGACATTGACCCCCGGATGAGCCTTTGTACGTGTAGCAACATCAGCGTGATGGTCGGAGCTTCGAGATGCTTGCAGGCCAGCGGTCGGGTTTGTGCATGTGTGAATCGGTGCATCCACCGCGATGATTTTCGAGACCTCATTTGCTGGTGCTTCCAGTGCTGTTAGTTTCGCTGATTCTGCGAACGATATCACGTTTGCTGGTTGGTGCAAAACAAATTTTGGTGCAAACGGCGTTTCATGTGGCAAGTGTGATGCTTCGTCACTCGTATCATGTGGAAAACAAGACCGATTGCGCATGTCTTCAGATGTTAACGATGCAGTCGAGTGTGCATCAGTCAAAACTGAAGATGACAGTGCAAGAACCGCTGATTCGGGAAGTTTTGATTTTGACTTATTCTGGGATAGTATCGTGACTGAGTTAGTTGAGTGCACAAGCAACGATGCAGAGTGATTGGAAGGTCTTGCGGGAGACGATGTAGCTAGTTGGACCGAAGGAACTACTGCTGCCGTATCCACGCATTCAGGAACTCCAGTAGTTGTTGGAGACGTTGAGGTGGAGATGGCAATTGAAGCTGCAGTCTGAGTTAGATACTCACTCGATTTTTTTTCATTCGATATCGCTTGGGACAAGATCTGATGTGAAGCTCTAAAATTTCGGTTGGGCTCCAGATCAGAAGATAAACGAGTTGCAGGAGATACCGGCATCTCGTATTTGTGCAAACTTTTCTCTGTTTCTGTCCGTATACGTTTGTTGCTTGGTTCTGCGTTACTCACTGAATCGTGCCAAATGTTGTCATCTGAAGATCTATCCAGATTCGAAGCGAGACGAATACGAGAGGGCTTCATATAATCCTGATTATGGTCAGCCTGACATTCTGCATTTAACGGTGAGGAAAAATCATCACCTTCCTTTGCCGCTGTCGAATCTCCTGACTTCTTCACTCTACGTGTAGCGAACTCAATCCGAAATCTCCTTTCCTTCATTGGATCGCTCTTTATTGACGCCTTATTTTCGTTGAAATTTCGCAACCAGAGCCAGAATCGAAGATCATACAGCCCCATTGTTTCACCAGGAAACAATGGAACTGGAATAGGATCCACTCGAGAGCACTCCTTATCAGCCGATCGGTCGTTCCTCGCCTTGCTTTGTAGAGCCTTTCTATATTGCTCTAGCGTATAAACTCGCCTTTCAAGCAATATCCACCGAGGCTGATTCTGCAGCAAGCGCTCACTGTCATATCGCGGGATATCCACACGCAACGAATTCATTTGCCGTGGTTGTTCAGAAGGCTCAAAGGATTCTCTTTGGGACTGAAAATGTTCCTGTAATGCCTTGCTCTCTCCATACGGCACTGGTGGACGGCCTCTCTCTGGATCTCGACGATTGTTTCGTAATGGCGACCTCGATCGAGAAGGAGAGCGACCTGGCGCTGAGGCAATGAAACGAGCTGATTCGACTGCATCAGACGATTCCGTCCTCATAATCGCAAACGCGTACCACATTGAGCGTTCTTTTGCTGGATCATCACGTAGTGATGCTAACGAAATATTGCGCGATTTAAGCCACCATTTAAACTTCAACGTATACTGCTGTATAGTTTCACGGCGCAACAATGTTATGGGAATTCGCACTTTTGCCTCACGTGGACGTTTTAGATCATCTTCACAAATCAATCCATTACGTAGTTTAAATATCTCGCTTCGAAATGCTTCAACTGATATCACTCGTCGTGCCAGCAACACTTCTCTTTGACTTTCTAGAGACGGACTGCGACCGTGAGGTGACACGGATCTACGCATTAACGACAGCACAGACCCCTCACTATGTTGCGGCGATGTAGTTGCTTTGCTCGTGATAAAATGAGGCGATCTCGATGGCGACCGAGCCTGAATGTCGATATTTGAGCGATGTAAGATCTCACGCAGCGGCGGCGGCCGATGGCTTTCCAGACGGGAATGTTTCGATTGCGATTCGTCATGAAGCCTGGATCTTTCGACTGGTTTTGAGCGATTTCGGGCCATGTCGAAAAGAGGTCGGTCCAAAACCTGTTTCGCTCTTGTCAGTGAAACTTCTTGATCGCATTCATGGTCTTTCACTCCTTTTTGGTGTAGAGTCGACCGCGGTGAGTAAGCTATATTTTTATGTCGTGTAAAAGAAGGCGATCGCGACCGAGACCTGGAGCGGGACCGAGAACGAGACAGGTAGTAACGAGATTTTACTTGATGTGAAGATGAAGTAAGTATCCCTTTACTTCTTGACTGTGCGAATTGTCGCCTATATTCCCGCTCGCGTGTAGGGTTGTCGCGCATTGCAGCCAGCGAAAGTTTCTGCACAGCCATCCAACGTTCAAACTCACGCTCGTAATCCTCACCAGACCAAGGTGGACTTGAACTCTCCCTCATCGCGCTTCCGTCCAAATCACGTACTTCCTGACCACATCCATCCACTACGCGCTTGGAAGGGACATCCCGATAATTTTTAGTCTTGGCGTCAGATGCAACGCCTCGAGCTTGTCTGTCCATGTGCGATTGCGAAAATATTTGGTCTTTTCGGTAATATATTATTACTAAACTTAATCTAATTGACTGGAGTGTATACTTTCACCATCTACTTATGTACGTATCGTATAGCGTTCATCATTTCGCTTTGCAGTAAAAAAAAAATACGTTTTAACCGACATCAAGTCTTTGAAAACGCGCATGACTACTGAAGAGGTCATACTGAACCCGTCCAAATCTACTTTAAGTCCCATTGCGGAGAAGAACCTGTTTCCGGCTCAGCTCATGCTACCAAACAACGAGTGTAGCAGTGAACAGCTCGCGCCTCATGTACAGGAGAAGCAAGTTTATGATGGAGACGTCGCTACTATTCGAAGGGAAGAAATCGTCGAGACTGACTCCCCTCCTACTCAAGCAGACAGAGTTAAACGAAGCGAGAACGAAAGTAATCCTATTGGTGCGTCCTGCAATAAGGATATCCCGCCAGAGGCGAGTCTTCGCTCTCACTCGGAGAGTACGTCCCATTGCAACCAACCAGATTTGTCATCTATGCCGAAAGATGGCAAGGTGGAGCCCAAAATTTGTTTAAAGTGTGGTAAAACATTTGCAAGCTGGCAGGGACTGCGTGGACATCTTAATCGTGTGAATCCTTGCGATCATGATACGACTGTACGACGACGAACCCCGGTGTCTAAAACGTGTCATAAGTGTGGTAGAACATTTTCGAGTCCACAGAGTCTCCGCATCCACTTAAATAAAATGAAGCCATGTGACCGGGATAAAACAAGACCCAGGTCACCACCAGAACCACCGGCGACAACGCCTTGTCCTGTTTTGCAGGTAATGAGTACTGAGGAGGTAAAAATGGAACAACGGAAGGTAAAAGCTAGGTACCAAGCTCGCAAAGCGTATCTTAAGAAACGTGGACGGCTTGATGAACTTGGAAACCCTCCTTTGTTGCGCATCCAATCTAATGATGGTCTTAACGATTTAGAAAAGACTGTTAATGAAGAAGAGCATCAAAGAGAGATATCAGATGAATCACTGCAGGATGGTGATAGTCTAGATTTGAAAATGTCTTCTGAGGCAAAAAAGCCGCGTACACAAGAGAAAGTAGCACAAGAAGTGGACAAAATGGATGACTTTTCCTCTAATGTCATCAAGCAAAAAATATCCGAGCCTCTTATACCAACGTCGTCGCTGCAAGATCCTTCAAAACGGCCAATGGCCAGCGAAGGCAGCTTTTTCTACCGCTTAAAATATGACCATGGCGGTGATCTCCTTGCTGGTGGTTGCAGCTGTCCACCGTGTGTTCGACGATGGGCGAGAAATATCATGAATCGAATGCAGAAGCTTGAAGACGAAGTGGTAATGTTACGTCAGCAAAAATTGGTTGAAGATAAAAGCAATAATGTTATTACTGGTGCTAATAATGCATCGAATCACGATGTAAGTTTGCACACCCGCTCTGAGAAATCACATGTCAGTCAGCCCACATGTCCGGGTGGTATGAATATGGAAGGGATGGTTTCGAGTAAAACTGTGGTGAATGGTCATTCTAATGCAAGTTCCATTTCCATATGTAATAGCGTGAAGTCCGCGTGTCAAGTGCCAGAGATCGAATTCGAGAAATATTCGGACAACAATCCCCCACCTTCTCAAAAGAAGGCTGAATTGGCATCCCACGAAAAGGATTTTTGCACCGATCAATCAAGATTATACGAACAACACCCAATTTCCTCTGGCTTACAAGGTCTTGGTTTAGATAAAAAAAGTTTAGTGGAGGCTTACACTCACTTGAACAACCAGATTTTGATAAAGGAAAGAACGATTACAGAAATTGAGGCCCACGGTGACAAACCGGAACTTCGAAAGAAAGTGGATGAACTTTGCTTGTTTATAAGCGTAGAAAAAGCTAAACGTGAAGTTATGGTGGCCTCTCTCATCGCGCGCGAGTGGAAAAGTCGATGGGACGAATTCAGAGCTTTATTCGAAGATAACACTTCCCACAATGCACCTCATGATGAACAGGCCCACCACAAAAAGTGGTCTGAGATTTCTAACGAAGTGTCCACCAAGGACGAGGCTATTGCTGAGTTAGAGAGGCGGATGGACGTTCTTGTAAGTGGTGGAGAAAATACCCGTTCTAGGTATGCAGAGATGGGCGAGCTTTCCAGCAAAATGGCGGCTGAGTACGATGCTAAAATGGCATTAGAAGGCGAACGTGAAGAGGTTTTTGTGGGTCTAGTAAAATCAAGTATTCGCATTCGGTGGCTAGTTAAAAACGCCTTGCTATAGTAGCCATTAATATAGAATAGTTGTAATTCTTCGACGTACTCATGTTTACAATCGTCATACCGTTATTCAAACAAATTAGATGATAATGCTGCATTTGCACAGCACACGTACATGCTTTCAACCAAATTCAAACCATAATTGCACATTCACAGAAAGTTTACATATTTTACGAATAAAGGTTGCACACTGATCGAAGACTGATAACTTATTCTTGAGCGAACACTCGAACAAAAATTAGTGTGTACAAACGCAGTTTTTAACCTTGCTCCAATAAATAAATAAATGACACTGGTCACAGATATACACGGAAAGCAAGTCCAAGTACAGATGGTGCTTTCTTATAATATTACACGATGATCCGATTGCCATTTTACGAGAAATATTTTTGCTTGATGTATGGATAATAGACAATAATAGCCACGAGAAACACGGTCATTCGATCAAGCACACCGCACGTCTGGCTTCCTTCGGGAAAGTAGAAGGCTGAGGTGGAAACTTTGGCCATTTGCCTTACATGTACCATCCACAAGCGACACCATTGTCCGAGTGTAATGGCACCAATGAGAACAATTACTTCCACGGTGGTATAATCTTCGCCATTCAATCCCAAATAAATAATCGCGATCATTGTAGCTCCGCACATCAGCGAGATCAAAAGAGCTTCCAAATCCTCCGTTGTGGCTTCAAATTTAAGCTGTGAATTGCGACAATATTTAAATACTTCTGGCCGGCGAAGCTGCAACTGTTTAGCAAGACAATTTCCTACGTCTGCAGCCAACACCACGAGTAAGAAAAGCGCAAATTGATTTCGAAATTGATCATTCATTGTCTGGTCGATCAAGTCTACGAAAGCGATGAGCGGGGACACAATACAGACAAGACCGAGTACATCGCACATCACGTGCAGCAAACTTTGTATAACAACCTTGCTTGTCACAACACGGGACACAATAATAATGATCGCGCCTGCCAGAATAATGAACAGCGGATCCAGCTGTGCGTCGGAGGTAATGACGTTAACATGAAGCTTTAAATAAGCATTCATACTTGCTACAAGGAAACAGGCCTGATATACGACAAGCACCAGAGCATCAGCACCAGAAGGTGCTAAAGAACTACAGAAAATAGATACGAACGCTGCTTCTACAGACGCAGCAACCATCATCCTCCAGCCTGAGGCGGGACTTTTGCTTTCAAACACTGTGGTCTCCAAAGCATATCCCAATGAAAGGCTTACCCCAGCGCCTACTGTGGCCAGTACAAAGGAGCCGAGATACCACCGTCCGCTGCACACCCTGTTCGTCAACGGCGCAATGGCAAAGCTTTTAGCACGCATGGTCTCGTTCAGCAACAGTGTGTAGCTCTCATTTAGATCTTCTCTTCGTAGCGATTGTTCTTCGAGGGCACGTAATCTTCTAATTTCTTCATTCTCTACCGAAAAATTTTGTGTCTGTTGTGTCCGATGTGACTGACCAATTTCGTCTGCTACGGCTCCAGTCGCTGTTGCTGCCGAAACCGCGAGCGCTTCCTCATGCAAAACTACTGCAAGTAAAAGCCGCTGGCAAATACGAAAAGCTAACCAGCTCCACTCAACTGCGCCTATGGCCAACAGCACATGCCCAAGGAATAGTAGAAGGTATGCATCTCCCACCTCCACAAGTGCGAGGACACCTGCGGGGAGCACAACATATGTGATAAATGGAAAAAGCGACATAAGTACGTGTGATGAGCACGCAGCGTGACAAGGCGGAGGCCGCTCCTGCCGCTCCGTCATGGCAAAATTGATGAGCGATTGGATGAAGAATTTATCTTGACATATATATGGCAGGTCAGGTTTCGTGTCAATAACGAGTCTCGTTGTTCAAGTATTTATCGTACCTTTCTTCTCTAATTGCAAGAAATGATAGGATTAGTTGAAATAGTGGTAATTTAGAACTGACCAATTGCAATGTTGTATGCCGCAATAATTGCGATTATTCCAATCGTTAAAGGCCGCAATCTTTTGCATCTCAGAGTTCTAATGGTGCATCAATATGAGAAACTCGCAAGACTTACATCAATTCTCACAATGAGTGGAGCTCTGAGCGCTGTCTTTGGTAATTTAAATGTAATTCTACAGATTATAGTACCACTATTTAGTTTTCCTTAATTAGTGCCCAATTGGTTGACTCTCAAGTTTAGTTCAGGTCAGGTTATGAGCACTCAATTACGCTGCTGTTCTCTCATGTTAAGCTCGTGTCATTCGACGCACAGGGGATGAGGAAATCGGTCACCATTCAGGTTCCTATTAAGAGCCTCTTGGGTACACAATTTTATTTTAGGCCAAGGCTAGAGCTGAATACATAAGTCTTACAATCGCGAGGCTGGTTATATTGATGTATTTACACCACAGAATCGGAGACAGGCTCGGAAGTGCCTTGACGAAGTATCATGATAAGCAGCGATACGGTTGAGGGTGAGGTGGGGGAGTGTGAGGAGAAGTTCACGGGATACCAATGCGTTTCTGTATTATAGAGAAGTATGACACAGGGACACAGAAATTTAATCAATTTAGGCTAGACTTAAGTGTATGTCACTCTTGACAGTAGAGCAAAGAAGCACCTTGTTACTTGAGCGGCTCTCAAATTCTCTCCAGCTTGGAGCGAGCGATCTATCCTCTGTGCATCAATTGTCGTGGACTCGTAGAGTCAGAGCGTTCTCCGTAGCATACGGTAGCACTTGTCCTCAAATTAATCCCCCCAATTTAACAAGACAGTATACTTGTGGGAATAAAACATGATTGGTTACGCAAATTTTCTTCAGACAGCAGGCACGCGTTACACAAATGCACTAAGTTATTTACGTTTGGAACGCCTCAGTAAGACGTTTGTGGGTGTACAGCCGGCTCCATAGAGATTCAAATTCGTGGCCGCTTTTTTATGATTTGCCAATATCTCCAATTGTAACGACAAAAATAATTTCCCGATGGATAAGAAAGGGTGAGATGGACGCGAAGCATCAGTGGCCCTCTTCGCACTTCCGTGTGGTACCTCAGTACTCCAAAATCGAAAGTTTTCAAACGGACCATTCGGGTGTGAGCATTATTTTTGGGTTTGCCAAAGGCACATTTGGTGCTTTCGACACTAAGTCGGTTGCGGTCTGCTGGTGCAAAAGGGCTACAAGTTGTTTTACCTATATAGCTTCCCGGCGGTCTTTGTTTCATATCAAAGTTCGCGTAGTGCAGCAAAATACTGAGAACATATTTATTTAAGTATTTGACAGCAGATTGGACGTCGTCCGCTTCATCTGATGTCATGATAGTTCCTCGCCAACAGTGGTAATATGAAACAGTCAACATTAATAATGCTAATATTAACGAGTTCGGATGCCCTCTAGACATTCGAAAACCTTCGCATCTTGTTCTGATACAGGTAAGGCTTTTAAATCAATCCCCATGTGTATCATTGATTCAATAAACAGGATAATTCAGCCGAAATTCATTTCTTATTGGTTTCATTTCGAACAAATATTTGAAAAAATGTTTAAAGGTCACGTGTTGTGTAAACCACATATTTGGGTATCGTTAACATTAACTATATATCCTGCATAGTTGAATCTCCATATCAGAATTAGAGACACTGATCATTTTAGGGAAGGTTTAAGGCCTATCGACCATAATTAAGGCCGCCTTTCCTTTTACTCGCCGTTCGCGTAATCATCATCTTACTGGAAATGAGCAACACGCGGTAAAACGTGTTGACTATTAAAGTCTGTTTCAGGAGGTGTGTGTATAAGGACGGGTAATTCCCGTTACAATATCAAATACAGCGTATTCGATCTATCTTTTATGAGCTAGCTCATAATCCGGACGATGTGACAATGCGTCAGCCAGCACGTTCAGTTTTGCTAATTTATACGCGGCCGGGAATTGTTCTCTGCGAATACGAAAACCATCGAGCCATCCGCTGTAACAAGTGAGGAAATATTGCAAGCTTGCAGAAAAGCGGAGTTGAACAAAAGAGGTGGACACGAGAGTATGCCAGAGCATTAGATGGATCTTGAAGAAGAGGTTTTGGCTCTGCGTAACGAGTTGAAGCTGCCACGCACACCATTAATGATCTAGTATCAGGCTCTGGACGCTCTCGACCTAAAGGTTGCGACTCTTGAGCAAAAATCCAAGTTGCGGGAGGCCGAGCTTCAGGTCGTAATAGATCGCACCCTGAAGTCGAAACATCTGGAACAGTTAAGTCGCGAACGTATGGTTGTTGTCGTGGGCAGGGTGGTTCTTTTCTGCTGTCGCGATTGAAACGACACGACACGATCGTGTCCTTCTGAATCCTTTTGCAATAGTGTACAACCGATTGCAAACTCGGAAGCGTTACACACCACGCTATACGGCTTCGTATCATCTGATAATGCAACCAATGGTGCTCTCGACCAACTGGTCTCGATCTGAGTCAATGCTTCTTCACAAGTGGATTACCACTCCCATGGTACGGTCTTCTTAACGAGTTTGATAGTGGGCGTAACGTTTTTGCGTAGTTACGCGAGAAGGACGCAGGTAAATGAAAAAAAAAACATCACAAGCCACTCCCATAACATACCCGACGGTGGCTTTCAGCCCTTAAATAAACGTCCTTTTACTTCATCAAGATTTGATGATATCTATCAACAGAAACGAGTACACTAAAATACGGTGGAAGATGACATCCTTGCGCGGAATCGGCGTTTGAGTGGACATCGTCTACGTATTTAACTTGCTAAAGTCGTAAGAGATACGCGATTACAATTCGGTTTGCGCACACAAAACGTCGGCGCGCTGTGAGGGGAGCTCTCCCTCACCAAATCAGCAGCTTGTTTTTGAACAAAGAAATCATCAATTTACCCACTTTGCTCACACGACAGTGGCCACTGTCGAACAAATGCATGCTTTGGATCAGTTTCACGATCATTTCGTGACGAACTCCACGTTCAGGTGGAAGAACATAGACGTTTTCGCACCAAGGACGTCATCCTTGTATTTCATAACAAGTGGATAATCGGATGAGTTGGATCCTTCAAACAGCATATCCGCTGCGTGACTCCACACGCTGATCAGCGTAATTCCGCTGAATCAACCTTCGACTGTAGCAACACGACTTCCGCAATGTCGTCACACTTGAGGTCGTGTAGGAAGTCATCGTAAGTGACTTCCTCGAGCTTCACTAGCTCGTCTATCTTGGGCAATGGTGCTAGAATAACATCTACTCTTGTAAGATTACACCCAGTCATTGCATCCACAACATCATATTCGTATGCTATATTTCCGTCGTTCCACCCATCAAACAATCATCTTGCGAGAGAATGGTGAAACGATGGCTGGCCTCGACTGAAGAGTAGTACACTTGACTACCTCACCTGCGGAATCAACCGCGTCCAGAGCGGGAGTATCAGTACCGCGATCATCATATTCCGATTATTCCTTCACATGTGTGCTCAGCCACACAACGGGTAAAAGCACCACCATTGAGATCAGGTGTACCGACTGGCCCACGATCCGACTCGACTCTCCCACAATCCGACTCAACCAATGTATAAGGCGTCATCAGCCGCGGTCGAATCCTTTGACTTTCCAGTAGACTCATATCAGCAACATCTTCCGTCTTGAGTAGGCATACAATTGGCAGTTCTCCCTTATAATTTTTTCCATTAAGCAATTTGCTAATCCCACCGACGATTCACTTGTTTTCCTGGTACCACTTGATCTGTCGACACCCTTCCTGAGTGACCACCAGTGGTCACTCCATACGACTTCGTATCTTCTCTAACCTGGGGAATTTCAATTACGTGACATATAAAAACAAAGTGTGGATCATTCATTACCTATTCGACTGTCGAGCGCCTAAACACTTGTTCCTTTGCTGTATGGCGATGTTGCGTAAATCCTTTTAGTCTTTGTGTGAAGTTTTCTAGCGGAAGGTCTTAAGGTTTGTTTAGAACAACACATATTTCGGGGGGTATATTTACCAGGTTCATCATACGGCAAACATGTGTATAACATCTACTAGCAATCGATCGATATCTCGAAGATTACCCGTAAGTATTCTTCATGTTGGAAAAAGACTTCGACGCTTGGTCAAGATCTCATTGAACTTCCAAATGATACTTTGGTCGACAATCTATATGTTGTAGATCCGGCTAATGACGAGGAAGATGTACAGCACGTAGTTTAACTTAGATTGATTGTATCAGCGAAAGAATATATACCTCAATCAAAAATTTCAAAACTTGCAACAATGAATAACTCGCCACTCGTACCATATTGTCCACAACAAGCGCTGAAGTACGGATAAAATTAACGAGGCTGTTGCGCAAAGGCTACCTACACCAGCAGTCTCATGAATTCTTATTAATCGACTCAGACCGTTTCAAAGAGTAAGGTACAATATACGATTGAATAAAACGCTTCTATATTTGTGCGAAAGAATACTTTCACGAGCAAGGCCATCCATAAATCGTGGCTGCTTCTCGCTTGACCTACGAAACTGCTTCAGCCCCTTCAGCTCCTGCGCATATTCTTTCACGGATAGGACACGAGATGCCACGATCTCACTTCGGCTTCTTTGATTACTTGAGGTATCAGCTTTATGGGCTGGTGTAGGTGCCTTTGATCGAGTTGCTGATACGAATTTCTTGGGTTGAGTTGCACGTAAGGGCATCTGTAGCGAGGTCAAGAGATAACTGTCTTCAACAATTGATGCTGAATGTAAATTGAAAAATGATCTATGAAGCCTTCCTGTGTCAGCAAGCTCATCACGAGGGATTGACTTTGATCTTTACGCGCTTTTTTTGCTCGCCTTTCTTAGAAGCACTTGTGTCAAGCTCCCTCAACTTGTCAATCGTTTGTAAAGTAGAAAGCTGCTTCTCATCGAATCGTGCATCGATACTGCGCCTCAACAGTCGCTCATTCTCTGTCTTTTGTGGTTGTTGTTATTATGGCTCCTTCGTGACGCTCCTGTATCAATCAGCTTGAATGGTGCTTTAGCTGCTCATCAGTCTTGTAATTGCGAAGATGTTGGGGAACCTCCTTATTGGGCGTTTGGGGCAGCGACATAACACGCTGCTCTCGCGTAAAGGTTTCGACTGACAGCGCACTCTTCAATATCTGGTCGGCTTTAGCAGTCTTCACACTTAAGCACGTTTTATTGGAAGGGGGCAATGGTTGAGGTGTTTCTATGCCTTAAAAGGAAAAGATTCCGTTGCTTGACCAAGTCTGCTGACTCTCTTTCCCTTCATAGTTAATCATGAAATTTGACGGTATGAGTCAAGCCAGAAACGGTAATGTTTGCATAATCTACGACATAGATAGTCTCCATGATGGAATTTTTATGATATTGACGTCGAATGCATCTGTTTGGGTATATTCCATGCATAGATGCCTTGAATTTGCACACGTCTATGATCAAACTACTTTCGATAATTCCTCGGCGATAGTTTACAGGACGGATATTTATCAAATGCAAGCTGTAATCGATTATGTGCGCTTTAATTGGTAGATCGCCGAAAAATATTTCTGTTTCGGCGCTAATGAAAATTATATCTGTGAATTTTTCGTCAGGGAATATGAATTTTCGGATAACCCTTTAAAAATGAGGCCGTCAAACATTGCTGGCGCTACACCCGGACGGTGCTTCCAAGTTCATTACAGTAACAGTGTGTTTGTGGTCTATGGCTCAATACGAGTTTGTGGCGTTTGTGCTGTAAGCAAAGCCGACGTGGGCGTCGCCGCTGTGCTGTGTTGCTCCCGGAGCTTGAAACTAGACCGGTATACGTCTATCATAAAATGCCCGGCAACAAATGTCGCAAATATTCGCACCGCCAAATCAGGCGGATTGCGTTCGAGCATAAAATCGTCCATCACTCATTAAAACATAAATGTGCAGACTATGCCTATCATTCGAAATCCTTGATAGCCGATAAAGGACGTCAACATCCGAATTCGTGTACATTATATGACTATGGACAATTATATCGTCAAGAAGTTGCTCGGTACAAATGAGCGTTGCGGCCTAGATAGTTATGTAACCAGACGACCGAACGGTGCTTGTATGTTGACAGTCCTTGTGGTATCTCTAATTTTCAGTTCATTTGAAGCATGATAAATTGTCTTTCTGGCCTTATGTGCAATTCGTGATATTCATCAATTTTGTACGAAGCATTGTACAATGCACATACGCACATACTGTTCTGACGTACATTTTTGCCAACATTGGCGTTTAATGGCGGGGGTGATTGCTGATTGTGATCATTTACCGTAAGCCAATTACATACAGAAAATCGGTGATTTTACGCTCTCTATCCAAACCGCTTTCGTAGTTCGTAAAACAAAAAACAAATTTGGACATCGTACTGATCCCTTCATAGGCCCTTTGGTATGTCATGCAGGAATCACGGCGACTCAAAGAGCGAACACTCAATGTGGAGGAAACCCCCGTGTCTAGCAGATGTATTCTGTCAGCAAAGTGTAAATATAATACCTAAGGATAAATTCCCCGCGCTTGTCAATCAATTTTTTGGGCGTGATCAATGACAAGCCCATTGATGGCGGTGGCACGCTGCGCTCCTCTTTCCTACTCAATACAAACCTGGTAAACTTTCAATTTCTTCTACTGGATAACTTCTCAACATTCTAAAGAACTTTCGTATGAAGATGTGCCATTCATGTCCTCATGTATGTCATATTCTTACCATCAATAATTGTTTATAGTCATTTGTCGCTTATGCATCACGGGTATATCGCTCGGTGTTGATATTCAGCTGTATTGTCATATGTAACATGGACGAGTGATCCATCATAACGTCAGAGCCAGTGGTCAGTACAAGTGCCTCACAGTCGCCTATCTGCAAAAAGATTTGTCCTGAAAGAACACGTTTTTAAACCAACAAAATTCTCTGAAATAAAGAAAGGTCCATATTTCTGCGTCATGCGAGAGCTTTCATACAAGGCAAATTTTGGGCTCACCAGCACAAGGCTATCTTTCCGTGTCTTAAGCGGTAAATCTTTCGAGACCCATCCATTCCTTGGAGTATTTCTGGCAGGCTATATATTCCGAATGACTTCGTACCTCGAATTCAGGTCTTTGATCGTACTGCTTATCGCAAACAAATGTCTCGCTCGTCGCCCTGAAGAGTGCTTTGCCGCAAGACAAACTGATACAGTATCAGTACTTGTATATCATTTCTTTGAGCTTCTAATAGTAGCACATCGTACATATTGCACAACAACCTTGAAGCTCACAAGACTTCTCGCGGCCTAAATAACCCGGGACACTGATATCAACGACCATCAAAGCTTGTCTTGAAGTCTTGCCTCTCTGGGACAGCGACGCTTTATTCACGACTGAGTGCCATTAACCGTGGACCTTTACTAGAGACAACAGAACACAAACTCTTCGCAGTAGGCCGCTTTGCGCCACTATCATTTTCTCGCGATGAGTCTATCAATCGGCTCAGCTTATTCAACAGCGGATTGGGCACGCAGTACTCAAACTTCTGGTCCTTCCGTAGATATAGTTTTTACAGATCTAGCTGAGAATTTGCTCTCGCCAAAACTTAGTGTTGCTACGAGCTATCGCCTTGGAGTGCGCAAATGTCCTCACGTCTCACACCCATTTCGATCCTTGCGAATCAAAACTTGTGTAATGCACAGTACAGGCTGCTTGTCGCTACTACAATAAAAATGTGCATTAAAGGCGTGGGTGTAATTCGGAGCTCGAAATAAGTTGACTATGTGCTTGCAAGAAACAAGCTCAAACACCACCAGATTATTATTTGTAAAAATTGTTGACGGCAATAGACTTACTTTGACAAACTATACTGGTGAAAGAAAGCAATGTCATTGCATATTACGCGGCTTTTTGCGACAAAATTAACTTTGATGCATACTACGATTTTATTTTGTATTTTGAAGCTGATCATATTTAGTCGCTCTTGGGAAATCCGCGAGACAATAATAAGTCAGACTGGAATGTACATTTGTTGTGTGTGGATGATGTCCCCTTGTAAATCATCCCAAAATCTATAATATCATTTTACCCGCGTGGATCATACCCGATTTGTCTGCCACACACACCGACGTGGATCGTACAATAGAGATAAAGTCGAGCACGAGTGTCCCCTTGTAAATCATCCCAAAATCCTTAAAATCATTTTACCCGTGTGGATCATACCTGATTTGTGTGCCACACACACCGACGTGGACCGTACCCTGAGTGAACCACGTAACGGGGTAACACGTACCCTGGTAGAAACGGATGGGTCATACAAGATGGTGTGACCACACAATGTGACGCTACTCCTTAACAAGAAGCACTACACGGCGGGACTGCCAGATGTTATGCATCATAATTAGGTTTTACTATTCAATCAGGAAAATCCATAGATTTATATAAAGGTGGCTCTGCCGCAAATAAAACAAGAGAAATACAGTTTGGGTTCTAACCGAAATTGTGTATTTGCCTTATATTAAGATTTTGGGTACTCTTGAAGTTAGCAGATTGCGCTCCGCTACACTCAAACAAATTATAGTATAGAACGTAAGGTCGGTGACCTTAGCTTAGCCTCCTCAATTCAAAGAGCTACAGCAGCCCCGCTGCACTCGGTAGCACTAGTAGGCAATCTACACCTGGGTCGTTAGGACTAATCCTCTGTGAAGATGGAGCAGCTCTCCCATTTCACCAGGGCTTGCAGGACGGGCTTAAAATGCTGATGAATCTGCTTGGCCTTGAGGGCGTGCATCACCTTGCTTTGCAAGGACTTGAAGCGATAAGCGCGCGCCTAGAGAAGTTTTCGAGCTATGAAAATGCTCTGCTAGAGCACCTACAGCATAATGTGTCGGTGTCGACTGCATCCATGACGCCACCGTCGTCGACGGATAACTCCTTCCGACCCAAGCCGCTCATGATGAGTGTTAAGACCTTTGAGGGTAAGGATGGAGAGAATCACCTGCTCTATTTTATAGAGGCCGAGATGGCTATGGCACCCACCACGCTTCAAAGCGAGCAACAGCGCGTGGCGCTAGCTATATCTAAACTAGGGGGCCGAGCGCGAGAATGGGCACTAACGTGCAATGCTTTGGTTGAAGCGGCGTATCCCCTCTGGACGGAGTTAAGGCTGCAGCTGTTACGAGAGTTCTCTCCGCCCAGCCAGGCATCCGTCTTCTTTTAGGAAATTTGGCATTAAATGTCGAACTCAGCTTTTGAGTCGGCACGACTTAGTTGGAATGCACACGAGCGAGCCTGAGCCAATGTATCTCAGCTATGCTGAGAAAGAGGGGGAGAGCTCCGAGCTGCACAGCAGCGTTCGATCACCCGACGGTGTTTTGTCTGTAGAGACACCCCTCATCTTCGGAATGGTTGTCCCCTGCGCAAGACGTGTCAAGATTCATCAAACCGACGTCCCGCTTCTCACCAGTCCGGTTTGTTGCGGGGAAACGAGAAAGTCCAGTAGGCGTGAGGCGCCCTATTAGGGGAGAACTGAGTTCTGTTGCGCCTCAAAGAGGTAGAGGGAAGTAGGATCCAGCCTCGAAGATCTGCGTGCTCTAGAACACGGAACATGTATGCAAGCCGGGCTTGCTGGTCGTAAAAGCGAGCGTGAAGGGCTTTGAGAGACCATGGAAGATCCCGATTGACTCCAGAGTGTCGGCCTATTATGCTCGATACTCCACGATGAAGAAAAGTCAGCTGTGCTGAAGCGCTACTTTTTAATTTAAAAAAATAACATAACTAATTAAAATGATACATGCAATTTCTATTTCAATTGCTAATAAAAAACAATTGATTTATAAATAAACTGGATATTGAAGAACTAACGGATTTTTACGAATAGTGATCTGTCTTTTATTTATTAGTAGCCTCTAGAAATCGATCACTTTTGACAGGAGGTCTACAATTCGTAGAGGGCTACTATATCTCGA